GGGTTTAGGAAACCGTATGAAAAAAGCTTCTTTGAAAAAGTTTTCAAAAGTAAAAATATCCCATCCCCAAGAAAGATGGAGAAGCATAACAAAGTCCCCAGAAAAGACCATAAGCTGCCACTTTTGCATATCAGGAGTGGCTTTCTTCCACGTATCTGCTAATCTGTTAAACCCAAATTTTTTCTGTCCTAACGAAAACTATTGCCATGCATCCCAGTTTGGTTCCATTGCCTTTCGCGTATTACCTTCATGCCTTCATCAAACCACACTGGAGACCCCAGCTACATAGTAACACTTACAGAGATACAGTCAAAACAAAACAGACTGACATACTATGTCCTACACCAACCCATGGCCTCCCTGCACTGGAGAATACTCAGATAGTTTTAAAATCCATTTACGCTGCTTCTACAAAGAAGAAAACAACTTCCCTCCAGTCTTCCTTAACAGGTTACAGCAGCAGACTAGTACACTACAGCATAGCTGCTTGTCATGCTCTGCATGCTACAGTCATACCATGCAAAAGAGAAATACTAGCAACAGCAGACTGAAAAATACAAAGAAAATCCCTGATTTTAAATTATATTCTTACGCTTAGGAGCAATTGACCATTTCTGAACTTATATCTAAGATGCCTAAAATATCTTAGCCCTTCTTACACATATAAATGCTGTCTGTTTAGTCAGCCAGAACAGTTTTTCAGTTTCCCATGTCCCATACAGAGTCCTTGTATGTGCCGTATACCTCATAGAGAACAGAAGAAATGCAGATCACTGTTGCTGAAAGGAAGATCTTCTGAAGTGCTAAAACCACACAGTGGTCCTGAACCTGCTTGCACAGTATACTTGAACTTCTTAAAAAATGTTTTTACAACTGGATAGGAATACATTTCTAATCTCATACTCACATAGGACCATTCATCTTGAGAGACACAAACATTTGACTGCTTGCCCCAAAAGATCTGAAGGCTCTTATCAACAATAGCAAAATGTTGTATCACACATCCAGGCTTTTACTTTCTTTCTTCAGCTTTTTTTCACCCCGTAAGTGATATTCACTCAGGTCCTCATTCTTTTTTCTCTCAGTTATTACACTACTCTCCCCTCCGGCCTTCCTAAAGCACCAAACCTCTGCCTCTTCAGTGCTAACACTTATTTCCTATCTATTTGCATAATGGAAAACGGAAGGAGGATAGTTGGATTACCTCTGCAGTTGCTGGATAATTAAGGGAGTGACTGATAATTGGGGAAAGCAAATGTTTGCACATGGTATTGATGTCAAATGTAAATGAACTTATCCCTTAACTGCAAGCTACTAGTCAGAATATTTCTGTAGCTCTACAGTCAGGAGAGCAATCTTTTCAGTTGGATCCTGTGAAAGCGGTGTCAAGAAAGAAAACATTTTGACTGTAGCTACAATTGAGATTTGGCAGGTAATATATAGTTGCTGTATTTAGATCATCTTTAACTCTCTGTTAGGTGTTTTCTTTCTTCCGAGATAGGAACTTAAATCCAGAATACTAAGAAAAATATATTTTACTTAAACTGAAAAGAGGAAGGAACACTTACATGGGAAATAAATTCCTGGGCAATCATTTGTCCACCAGAAGAAAAAAGTAAAAACGTAATAAGAAGATGTGTTATAAGACGTTGGGTACAACATTGCTTTATATCTGCCTTGTGTATAGCAGCCTCCAGATCTTCGACAGAGAGGATTGTACAGCTGAAGAGCATCACTAGCTGATTGTAGACTGCTCGAGCTTCTACCTGTAGGGAGAAATTTCAAAGGACACAGGATCAGAGAAGAGTAAAGGTCATATCTGTGGTATTTTTCCTTTGGATTTATTCACTAACAGGAAACTGAATCCTTGGCAGAAACGACCCATACATGAAAAGAGTCTGAATTTAAGCAGCAGGGAGAACAGGAAAGGAAGGGCAGTACACATTTTTTTATACTGATTCACACACACGTAAGTGGACAGAATGGATTTTTTAACTTTCTTTGGTCTTGCAAACTAAGCAGGCAGGGCATCAAGCCAGGGTTTGACCTTTTTTAATAATAAAAGGAAATGGAGAAAATCCCTCAGCAGAACATATTCAGATTTTTGCATTGTGGGAAAAAGAACAGAGGCTCCTCAAGGACTCACTTCAATATTGCTGCTACAAACCAATTAAATCCCCGTGCAACCTGACCTCAGCTGATAAAAAGTTCTGATAAAAATGCATTTTTTCCCTTCTTCCTGTGTTGTTTGCAATTTATGTTTTTACCTTTTGAGTTAGCCAATACACATTCATTCTTATTAGGATTAGAAAACAGACAATTTTGGCACCTTCACAATAGAGAAAGAACTATAAGCAACTATTGCAAAAAAAAAATCTTAACAATAATTCTGCTCTATAATCTCTACTTATTAAAAATAAACTAAATAAACTAGTAAAATTTTTTAAAAAGCACCCAGTAGTGCAAAGGCAATGGAAAAAATAAGGAAAAATATACCACTGCACGGTGGACAAAGGACACGGACACCACAATCACGTTCATTAGGGCAATTTCTTTAGTCATTTACCTGACCTCACTTTTCTCATCCTCTCTCCATTATCATTTCCATATGAAATAGGCTGCAAAAGCTGCTATTCTGGAAGTGAATTAGGTTCAAAATTACATATAGGGTGGCAAATGGTACCAGCACATAAAGCAAGGTAACTGGAATTCCTCAACATCTTTTATCCCTGCATACATCCCATACATCCCCATGTGGGGTGGTGTATACATCCAACCCACATGCCAGCAATGGGAGATTTTAAGCTAGCAGGCAGATTTTTAGCTAGTAGGATCGGCTCCGCAGGCTCACATACCCTACTTAGTGCCAAAGTTATCATGACCAACCTCCAGGCTTTGTTCCTTTAATGTCTCAGGTTCTAAATGACAGAAAGAACTCATACAGATGAATAAAAGAGTGAGGAGCAGAATATTCAAACAGGCTGCACGTCTGAGTGAACTCTAGTATACAGCAATAGTAGCCTTTTTCTTCTTTAAATCATTTCAGCTTTGAGTATTCCAATCTTGCTCATATCTAAGCTGCTATCTAAAACAAGTGACAGAAACTCAAAATCTTAAGTCATGAGCACACCCCTTTCCAGATGAAAATACGCTGGATGAAGAGCCCCCCCAGCTTGGTCTCTGGCAGAAGTTCCTATCCCATCTTCCTGCCCCTGTTTACAGCTAAATTGGAGATCAGCAGGTCAGGAGTGGTAATCTTGAAGCAATGAAAGGTTCAACAGGTCAGGAGGGAACTGCTCCGTTTGACAAGGCTCTTAGATAGCACAGCCTATATGCCCATAACCTCCACTGAAAGCTGCCAAAGGACATTTTCTTGACAACCTTATCAAGCATAGTGCAGAGAAAAGCAGATGGCTAACTAAAAGGCAGAAGCTTTGTATTAACTAAGGGAATTCTTTTCAAGTAGCCTGACTTGTAGAAAATATCAATCTTTTTCACTGTAAATAACTCTAAATAAAAGAATCATACTGAACTGAAATATCAGACCTCCGGGAATAGATGAGTAATTGCGTGGGCTCTCAATGGAAAAGCTTTTCTCTCACTCAACTTTGTCATGCACTATTACTGAGAATAACAAACTGATAAATAACACCGGGGACACACAGAGCGATGACCAGATTTTGGACAACGTGATTTCATTCTGTGGCACTGGAGACGGAATAATGCTCCATACATACAGATCTCAACACCTACAGTCTTCTGACTTCATTTGCTCGTGTTTATTGCTTTGGTCTTGCCTTCCTCAAAACTGCATTTTAAAACTTTATTTTCTTCGCCCTCTGTAGCTCTAGCCTAACCCTTCCCAGCCAGTTTTCCACCCCCATGCATGCAAACTCTGTTAATCCTAGAAGAGTATGAGAACTTCAAGAGAAAAAAAAATTAAAAAGTGCTTGCATTTGTAGTGCCAATTCTTTTTTTTTTGGCGGGGGGTGGGGGTGTGGTGGTGGGAGGAGGAAGGGAAGGAAATGAAACACTGTAAAACACTGTAATATGTGGAGCATTAGATGCAAAATGTAAAAGCATGATGTTCTAATAGTATCCTGTATTGAGCTGCATTTTTAAAACAAAATGTATCAGTTTTAAAATTAAGGAAAACTAGAGATACTGCAGTGAGATTTTTAATCCAAGCTTTGGAGAACATATTCCCCAGGTTAGTTCAAACCTGCATAATAGGTCTAAACTTAAGATTTTCATTCTTGTGCACGTATACACAGACACATACCCCTCTTCATGCAACAGGGAGTATGGTTACAACATTGCTGCATTCTGTTAAAAACTTAACATGTGGGACTGTAATATGCTTGTTACAATCTCATACAGGCCAAAAATTCAGGGATGAGAGATATAATAGAAATCAGAATAGATGGGTATGGTGGGGATTCAGTGCTGACTGTGTTTGATGAATATCTTTACTGCTTCTGCTGCTGCTCTTATAATTTCCTCTTGCAAATATTTCTTTCTCAGAGGATGCCATAACATACGAGCGCTCAAGTCTTCCATGCACGTTTCAAAAATACAGTCCTAGATCAGCTGAACTTCTGATTAGAAGCAGATGAGTTATTTAAATGAATGCCAAGAAGTCTATATAATATCCTTTAAAAAAAAGAAAAAAGCTTTCTAAATGTCACCAGCAAGAAAATCCACAAAAATTATCTTCGAACTACTTCACTGCAGTACAATTCCCACAAGACCTTACAAAACCAAAGTCTTCTTCAGTGTATACCACTTTTTTTCTTTTGAATGTACAGTCGGTTGCAGAGCAATGAGATATAAGCAGACTGTTGTCTGCTTACTGCTGGTTACTATTGCTACAGTACTCACCATTGTTCGAGTCCTTTGCTGATTTTCATTCTGAGGACTGTAGTAAAATGCCAGCAGCCACAGCAAAGCATCTGGTTCTACAGAGGCCTTCAGTAATTGTTCTGCCGCAATATCCAGTCATTCTCCAAAACGAGCAATCAAAAACCAGATTTCAAAAAGGTCAGCAAACGAACTGGAAAGAAAATTTAAAACATATAAGTATTTCTTGTTATTAAGCATTTTAAAATGTCTTAAGTTAACTACAAAGGGTGCTGGCATTAAATATGAGTGTAAAACTCTTCTTCAGCAGATAATGCCTCACTTGTTAAGCAAGTACTCATGCATTGTATTATTTGCAGTAAAGACCAAAGAAAACAAACACCAATGTTACTAAAAAGTGAACTTTGTTGAACAGAGTATCTACACCACTGGCTTCCAAAAAACAGCAGTGATAAAATATTTTCTATTAAAATATAAAATATTTTAATAACTATTTTAAAACTATTAAAATATACACCTCAAAATTAAACTTTACAGTTAATGCTCTCCAGTTTAAGGATTTTAAAAACTTAAAATCCTATCTTAAAAAACTGCTCTAACATACTATTTGCTTATTTTGCTTTCCAGTTTCTTTTCTGTTTGAGAGCATATGTTTTTGATGATTCAGAAGGAAGTACCTTTAAGTGGACTAAATGCAAGTTTTTAAGGATAGGCATCTCCTGGCTTTTAAAATTCTGATCCTCTTCAATGAAAATTTGGAAGATATTTACAATCTTAATTACAGCAGCAAGGAAAAGAAAGGTCAGAAAGGACCACAGCTCATCTCTACACTCCCTTGTATGTACTCATCTGAAATTAAGACAGATTATTTTCGCCACAGCTGCTTCAACTACAGACCTGCGAGAACAGAAAAAATGAGGAGATCTAAAGTAATGATAAGCCTCCCCCTGAGCAGCAAGTCAAATAGATAGCTTCTGGAAGGAAGAGAGGAAGCAAGGAGACTAAAAACCAAGAATGACTAGTCCTACTAAGCTGTTAGGCTGAAAAATCAGAGGTTTTTCTTCTGTTTTGTTGCTGGGGATTCCAAGAGCTGCTGTGTCACCCTTCCCAGGGAAGCCTAAGAGATTTTAGAAGTTTCAGGAGTTGAGGTGCTGGTCTGAGACAACTTCATCATCTGGAGAATTTGACAATGTGACGGTCGGAATAAAATGCTTTATCTTTTAGACTTTCTGAAAAGGTGGGAAGATGTGCTTTTAATCCCCACAGATGTGGGGATGTGCTCTGAAGGTATGATGAGTGCAGATAACATTCCATGCCTAGGAGTATACTGTTCAGACATGTCCTCCACAGGTGCCCCCAAATTACTGATACTGTAAATCGTAATGTCTATATGCCACACTATCCTGGGGTCTCAAAATCCTATTCCTGGTGGACATAAGTCCACCATATTAATATATTTGGACAAGTAGGGTCACTGACAGGTGGGCACTGACATCAGACACAACCGTTTGGCAAAGGATGGGCTGGAAAATACAGAACAATGTGACAGTGATATAAATCATTGCTTTTGATGTCACAGCCTTAGCGCGGCTAACAGCACATTTCTGATCCAGGGAACAACAGGAGATGTGTGGCAAAATGTAAGACTAAAATTGCTCATATAAAGGAACAGGCTCAACGCTGATAGAGTCTCTGAAGACACTAGAATCTGGAAAAGCAACAATAAAAACCTTTGAAAAACAATACAAATGTAATAGTAATCTGGGACAATAGCCTTCCCCTCAGCAAAATAATCTGAATTATCTTGAGATAAGTAAGTAATGTCATGACAACTTAAGTGGATAGGCAAGGTCTGAAATCCAGGGACTTACAATTACACAAGAAATTTAATTAAAAACTAATTATTAAGAATTGACAGCTATACTAAGGTAATATAGACAGTATTTACAACTGGAAGCGTTGATAGCTCAGAGGGTAAATACATATCCTTAAACCTGAAGCATTAAAATGACTTCAACATGTACACAGCAGAACAGAACCTTATGCTTGCCTAGAGAGCCAAGGCACCATTGCACTTACAACTCATTGTAACTGCCATATCATCCTGAACCAGTGCCTGGTTTGGAGTCACATCCCCACCACCTCTGTCCCCATCACAGTCTCTGCTCACTCTCTAGTGGCAACTATGTCAGCCACTATCGCCATAAATGGTCCTTCAGTTTTTCTGGGATATTTTTTTTTCTTTGTAAACTTACCTCAGTTGATTTCTATTTTATAATACCATGTAACATTTACTGTTTATTGACATGACTACACATAATAATAAAAAATGGTAGAGAGGCACTGTATGTATTAGCAATGCATAGGAAGCACTCTGCTGTAAGACTTAACATTTAGTACCAAATAAGAGCACCAGAAAAAAAGCTGCATAAACAAAAAGCACTCATTATAAGAGACAAGAAGATATGCTGTACTGCAGTAATTTTTTGCTCATCTGTTAATCTCATTAAGTAGAAAGGATATAGAATCAGGAATAAATCAATAAAAGACAGAAGAAATACAGTTCCTCATGGATATTAGTTTCTAAAAACTTAAGCCAGATCCATTTTCTTTCTAACAGAGAGGCATTTGAGAGGAAACATAATCGCTGCGTGACTGTAAAGGAAATAAGATATTCTGGCAAGTACAGTACTATTCAAACTACTGTACTATCAAGGCCAAAGGGGGAAAAGGGCAAAATAAGCCAAAAAAAGGCTAAGCAACAAAAGGAGAATAGATATGCATGCTTGCATTATTGTAACACATTATGATGGATGTTATTTGTTTTATTTGTTTGTTCTGTGCTTGAGTTACGGTTCTTTAGGAAGCCAGGGTCAGCCACTGGTCATGCTTTAAGGGAGAAAGGGTTTGACAGACTTCAGAGCAGAACAGGCGAGACATAGCACCCAACTGCAGCTCAAACAGAAAGCGAGAAGCAGGTAGCAGACAGCCAGGCCTCAGAGGGAATCGCAAAAACTTTATTCTACCACTCAAAAAAAACCCTCTATGAATTAACTGAAACTAAGTGCGGACAAAAGCCCCTGCCTCTCAGGACACCATGAAAAAGGCAACAGTTAGGAGTCTTGTTTTGTGAATCTATCTGACTTGGCCACTCCATGTTTCTATTTAAACTCTTTTAGTTTTTAAATAAAAATGAAATCGGCTTTTTTTTGAGTTTAAAAGCCGTTCAATACTCTTTGGCAGGCTCATTCTTGGAGTAGGCCTAAGCAGATTCCTATCAAAGCTATAACCAACTTAGGGTCTGATCATACACCTGGTAAAAAAAAGAACTGGAGAGCAGCAACAGATAGGGATGTATCTTTTTTCATTCTCTTCATATACTCCTAGAACATCTATCACCAAAGCAGAATTAATGCAGCCAGACACTATCATTCCGTTATAGCAACCATTCAGACAAAAAAGCTAAGGATAAAAGGTCAGACACATGGGGTTTCACCTCCACGTGAAACATAAGAAACTATGAAATAGCCTAACAGTTGTATATTGATGAAAAAAAATTAAGAGAATTGAAGTTCAGATATTTGCACAAACCTGTAAAAAGCCAATCCCATCTCCTTTATAAGCAATCCTGCTATTTTTTCAATACTAGCTGCTCTTCTGGAGGGGAGAGTTCTCTTGTTATGCCCAGGAAATGGAAAAATGTCAGACCAAGTTTCCAGTCAGCATCCTCAAAGGTAACCTGCCTTCCTCCAGCCCATAGTTTGGGCTCATTTTTTTCCCCACATGGCAAACCTCCCTGTACATCCCCTCAAAGTGCTTCTTCAGGACTCTGCTTCTGCTGCATTAATGAGGAGAAAGAAGACTCTTCTTAAGTGTGAACAGTGGCTCCATGTCCTGAAGACAAAGAATGAGCAAGGGCAATGCTCAGGACAAGTTCCCATTGGCTTGTTTGCACTGGGCCCTCTCTGGACACAGCAATGATTTTGAAAAATTCAGGCCAAATAGAATTAGAAATTCAATCCAGAACAGATTCTAAAAGTTTCAGGAGAGAAATGGGAGAAGGCAAGTAAGCACTTCTTTGATACAGTTCAGCTGTTTACTGAAGTGAAAGGAATTACGAAATTGTGTTTTCTGAGGGGCTTATTGGTCATCTACATGTGCTACAAAGATCAGTTCTAAAGGTACTCTAAGTCCTATATCTTTAAAAGGAGGCTGAATTTAGAGAATAATAAGAAAATTACACTTGAAGAAATGTGGCCTGCAAAGACTGCAAAGTATGTGACTTTCCACAAAGTAACAGATGCAAAGGATAAAAAAGTGTGAGAATACAATATTGCTTACCTAATGCTTTCACCTTCTAGTAATGCTTTGAGCACTTCTGAAATGTGTTTCAAGTGTTGACAGCAGTGCGTAGCTGGCAATTAGTGGGCAATGGAGAATAAAAATCACAAGAAAAATGATTTTTTTTCAAGTGCAAAGGTTCAGCCAGAACAGAATTAGTACAAAATTAACCGTACTAAACTAGCATTAAAATGTGTACAACATGACTCTGTTTTCACACAGCATTTAAAATTTCATAATTTTCAGCCTATTACTGTATTTTCTTAGAACAACTCAGTGACAATGCCAAGTAAGGAGGTACAGCTAGGTATATTCTTCAAATTAAGCTGATGTACCCTTGTACAAATTCTTCTTCAATATTAACATATAACCAGTAGAAAAACATTCTCAGAGGCTCTTACACCGAGCAGAAATTGTTGCTCATGAAGAACTGTACCACGTTAAGTAGTGGTTTCTTGATCTACATAAATGAAGAACCTAAAAAAAAACAGTTTGCAGTTTAAAAGCCCAGCTGAATTCAAGCTTACAGAGGCAAACAGCAAGGCAACACACTAATTCTTGTAACATACGTATGACAATTTTCATAATGACAATTACTGGTATCGCAAGATAAGAATATTCATATCTTTACAGATCTCAGTAACTTGTCTTAATTCCTAGCATCACTGCTTTTACAGTAAAAATAATGCATTCCTCCCTTGTTATCCAGCTTGGTTTTAGTTTTCTTCAGAGTTGTATCTGTATTTTTCTTACATAATAACTAGGTGTGCCTACAGAAGATACATTAAAAGATTGTTATAAGAATTGCAAAGTTAAAACACCTAATTTAAGGAAATAATAAAATATAAGTTGCAGTCAAAAATCTTTTCTTAGGCCCTTTTAAAGTTACTTAAGACATACAGACAACGCAAGTTAATGCTGTAAAAATTTACTGAAGAAACTTACCAAAAGGACATCTGAGTAAAGCTATTGCAAGAGGCTGGTGATGGTGAGAGAAGTAGGCTTTCAATGGAAACTTATGCTAAAATACAAAATTGTCGTTTTGAAAATTGACGAGAAAGTTCTTAAGAAGAAACCCACAGCTAACAAACTCATCTAACATAGTAACTAACAATACATTCTGAAGTATAAAGACACAAAATTGATTCTAGACTTAAAATTATTTTAAGATTTTGCTAATTATTTTTTGTAAGAAAAGCTTGCTTAGAAAAAATAAGTATTTATGGATTTTTTAATACACGCATTAAAAACGATTAAGAGTACGATGAGGAATAAATCTTACTATTCCCAGTTTTTTTTCCACTATAACCACAAAAATCTTTATTCTTCTTTATTCTGATACGCAGAGGTAAAAAGAAATATTAATTTATTTGCTTTCATTTTATGATGGAAATGGGTTCCTGGACCTTATCCAGCTAAGAACAAGTAACAACCATAACATCTGAGGGTATGATGTAGATAATTGCCCTATGCTCAGAAATGGAAAATTAAAACTCTTAGGATCTTATTCAGTAGGTAGTCATTGATGACAAATTCACCCTCTGTTTAGCTGTGTGTGATTTGTACACTGTGAACATAGATGCTTGTGCAACTGTGAGACTAACAGCAGCACACCTTTAATCTTTTTGTTCTGCAAGCATCTACTACAGCCACGTCTAACGTGTAGTGTGCATGTATAACTGCAATGTGAGCTCTGTTTCAGTCACCGTACTAATGACCTTAGCACTCTTCTGGCTCCTTTCTTTCAGGACAGAAGACTATTCAGCAAACAGACCATCTCTCAAAACACAGACATGGAAAATAGACTATATAAAACGCCCTAAACTTCTGAGTCCAATGAAGACTGCATTTAGTTTAAGAAAAACTCATTTCATTCAGATTTAATGTACATGTCTTATAAACATGGAATGACACATTCTCATTATTTTTCTTTTCTGTAAACAATAGTTATTTGAAATTACGCAGTAATATATACAATATCTTCAAACAGTACATTGTATCACTGGTATTATAAGACTCTAAAAGTCTATTGTCAAGTGGAATTACGTTAATTAAAAATTAATAATCCCTATACTAACATATGCCTGTAGCCAATTAGCTTGCAACAACAATCCCCATGAAAAAGCAGCCCTTAACACAGTTAGTAGCCAAGACAACCCACAGCATGAATTACGTATGACAACAGTTTTGCAAGATAAGTGAAAACTGGTTTTCGGCATACAGTTTAAGCAAAGCAAAAATGTTTGCTTCCTACCATACAAGCACAGTAATTTAGGCAGTTCGTTCCTTACATAAACCATCACAAACTACCAAACACGGTAATAAGAGGTAAAACAAGTTTGGATTGGCTGGATATAACAACTGACATAACAATACCACCTTCGTCACATAACAATAAACAGGAAATAAAAGTGGAACACCAATTAAAAACATTTATCCAGCTATTTAAAACAAATACTTAATTTCTAGGTGAAAACAGCAGGTGATCATGGAACGATCAAGCAAAAACACCTTTGGAGGAAATAACAATTTCTATCAAACAAATACATAAGCTTTAGGTTTATAAATTCAAAACTAACATGACCTAAGTATCCTTAAGTCAGCTCTCACTATCATTACAAACTTGAAAAACCCTGCTTGTACAAAACATAGGGGATCATCCCAACAACGGTCCCAATATGTGCATTCTTACAATTTCTTTTTTTGCTGACTACACATACGGTCTTTTTTCTTGAGTAAGTTTAAACTCCATGTTCCTTTTATACCTTTTTCTGTCTACCAAAACACAGAAGAGCAAATCTACGCCTAAGTTGCACAACACCCTTTTTTCAAACTGTCCATTTTTTTCCTACATTTTCTTGCTCTCTCTAAACAGTCTGCAAAGTTATTAGAAAAGACAGTTATTTTTGACATCTGCCACACTGGCATAGGGAATCATTCTCCTCCTACCTTGCA